AAGGGACNTTCCATCATCATCATCATCATCATCATCATCATCATCATCATCATCATCATCATCATCATCATGGAAACCCGATCAGAAAAAAGAAAAGAAAGGAAAATGAAAAGAAAAGCACTCGACGAGTCACACAGTCACATAATCTCAGCAAGAGCAGAAGAAAACAGGAAAGTCGATGAATTGACTCTGCTGTTGACTGAGGTAACATTTTTTTTCTTTCACGTCTGCCTATACCTACCTACATCAGACTACATCAGACTACATCTATATATACGTACGCTGCCATCACGAGCCATCGTCCACCACACGAGACATTAGAAGATGACGAAAGTCAGATCAGATCGGGTCTGGTCGCTACCAAGGTACCTACCTAGGTAGCTGAACAGAACGGCAGGCATCATCCGCAGGCAGGCAGCGAAGGTTGTTTGTCATGCCGAAAACAAGTTAAGTTCCACGGTTTCTTCCCTAATTTTTTTTTAAAAAAAAAGGCAGCAGCAGAAAGAAAATATAAAAACCAAAACGCAAACGCGTCCTTGTTCCCGCGCAAAAAAAACAAGAGCAGACTTTGCAGCTGTCCTCCTCGTCCTCGTACTCGTCCTTGGCAAAAAAAAGCCTCAGAGTTAATAAAAATCGTAACAAAAAGGATCACCTGACCCCTCTTTTTTTTTCAGGAAAAGAAAAAAAAGACTGGCCTGAGAAACAGCAGCTGAGGTGCTTCTAGCAGCACCTATGATGTGATTTATGCAATACTATACTTGTTTGCAAGAAGTATAGCTTTTTTTTTTTCATCAGAAAGTCAGAAAGGGTGCAGGTTCTAAACGGAAGATCCACTCCAGAATTTATAATAATACTGGGGATACTGGAGGGAGGAGAGCAGGACAGCAGCCGTCGTGATCGATGATGAAGCAAAGCAGACGTGGATTCTTTCCTCTTGTTTTGGGGATTGAAAACGACAACGACAAAGCTTGGTAGCTGAGATCGTGACGATGGGTGATGCTCGATGGGAAATTGTTATTGTTCTTTTTTTTTTCATGTGTGCGTGTTTGCTTGCTGTTGATCAGCTAGCTGCTTATTTGGAATATTGAATGAGCGTGATGCTGCTGGGAAGAACGTCATGTCATGTCATGGCATGTCGAGACTAGTCCTTCTAACTTGATTTAAACCAGTACTCTGTTCTTCTGTACTCTAACTAACAGTGCGAATGATGACAATCTTCAGTATGCCGATTTACAGCCTCGCCTGGCTATCCGTCTCATTCACCAACACATATCGATATCTCGCTTTCCCAGCCTCGAAATCCTTCAGCGCAGCGTTTACCTCGCTCATCGGCCGCGTCTGCACCCAAGGAAGCAGGCGCTTCTGCGCCGCGAACTCGAGCATCTCCCTCGTCTCGCGAAGCGTCCCGACGTTCGACCCGGTCACCTTGACGGCCTTCTGGATGAGCGAGAATGCCTGGATCGCAGGCAGCGGCTCCTCCGGCGCTCCGAGCTGCACGAACGTTCCGTCGATCTTGAGCAGGCGCAGATACTGCGCAAGGGGCATGTTGGGCGACGAAACGGTGCAGATGATCAGATCGAGGGTGCGGGAATGCGTTTTAGCCCAGGAATAAGAAGGCTTGTTTTCGCCTTTCGACGACTCGTCCGGTTCGTTGTCCGTCGCGATGAACGCATCTGCGCCTAGCCCGTTGAGCGCGTCGTCGCGCTTGCTCGAGCTGCGCGAGATGGCTACCACCCGGTCACAGTTGAGCGCCTTCGCGAAGAGAATCCCCAGGTGTCCCAGCCCACCCATGCCGATGATGCCGACAGCCTTGCCTGGGCCGGCGCCATAGCGGATCAGCGGCGAATACACGGTCAGCCCGCCGCAGAGCAGCGGCGCCGCTTCAGCAGAGGGCAGCGCGTCGGGTATTCTGAAGACGAAATGCGCCGGGCCTCGCCAGTGAGTCGCATAGCCTCCATACGCCTTGCTGCCGTCCGGATACCGGGAATTGTAGGTCCAAACCGGGCGCGAGCAGTAGTTCTCGCGACCTGCAGAACACATGTCACAGTTCGCGCTCAGACAGGACTTGCTCAGCGGACCAACACCCACGCGGGCGCCGACGGTGATGTCCTGTGAGCTGACTTGCGACCCGACTCGCTCGACGATGCCGATGATCTCATGGCCGACGACGCAGGGGTAGTCTGTCGGACCCCAGCCGGAATGGATGGTATGGACATCCGAGCCGCAGATGCCGCAATGCGTGATTCTGATTTCGACGTCGGTATCTGCGAAAGGTTTGGGCTCGAAGGTACCATATTCTAGGGGAGAGGTGGCAGAGTGAGCTATCCATCCGTGGAAAGTGGATGACGATGACGATGAAGACGAAGAATTTGTAGTCGCCATTCTTATGACTGTTTTTGGAAATTAGAGCCGTCACTGTACACTGTGTCCTGTTCTCTTAGAAAAGACAGTTTCTGGACTGAGACACCGCTTGCCAAATATCTAACTAGACGTAATTAGCAGAAACGAATTTCAAAGACATTCATCAGGAAAACAACCCACAAGTCCAGACCTCACGAGAGAAAGAGCCTGACGGTAATAAGTGGGATGCCAGTTACCTAAGGTGGGCAGGTAGAAAGGCACGTGGTTTTAACTCGATTCGGAATCCCCGCATTGGCCTCAGGCTGATAAGGATTACGTCCCAATTAATTTAGAATATGTATGGACATAGGTACCCATAGTCATGTAGCTCTGTTTACAAGCCAAATATCAAACTACAGTAAGTAGGTAGTACAACAAATAAGCCAGCTCGCAATAATAAAAGAGTGGCGGAGGTGGGAGGGGAAGCGGTTACCGAGGTTAGATATGCGGAACAGCCTGCACTGCATAGTTATCTCTGCACTGGATAAACTTACCAGATAAGTACAGTACAGTATATCTCCTGCCCAGACTAGGCATCTTGATGAATTTGAAGTCCAGTCACCTGGCGTCGGTGGAAGAGCCACCACGGCGCGTAGCACAGACTCCCGATTCGAGGATCACGATGATGGCGCTCGCTTAGTAGCGGGCGGGCGGAACCATCTCCGTAAGTCGCTAAGGGGCGGGGCGATGGAGATGATGCCGATGGAGTCATGGACCATGGTTACTATCCGTCCCTGATCCGATCGCATCGAGGACGTGATACAGCAGCAACTCTGGTGATGATTCCTGCGGTGCAACGACATCTCCGGGTGGCTGGGCTGCCCTAGCCCCCTGGCCCGGGGGCAGTGCCAGCCTTGCCTGTCTCCCACGACCCAATTACGCTCTGATATGAAGCAATTCCCCGGTCGCTAATGATTAACCTACTGTCGCATCCTGCAGATACGCCCTGCCATTCGAGGGCGCGCGACCCACTGGCAAGGCTAGCAACGCACCTTCACAGGCCACGGCGCTTAAGTCAACGTTGCTGCCAGAGCAGACGGAAGACAGAAGAGAAATACATATCTGTCGAACAGACAATATCACCATCATTCAACTTGTCGCACATCCACCATGGCTGAATCCGACCAGGAGCCCCTCATCAACGACAACCCGTCCCTCCAGTCGTACTACTGCTCCCTCGAGTCGCGGATAGGCTACCGGCTGTTCCTGGGCGGCACCAGACACTTTGGCTACTATGAGACCGACACCTGGTGGCCGTTTCCCATCGGGAAAGCCCTCCGCGCGATGGAGGACCACCTGTCGCAGTCGCTGGCGCTGGAGGCCGGCGCGGAGGTGCTCGATGCCGGCTGCGGCGTCGGCCACGTTGCCATCCATCTGGCGCGCAAAGGGCTGCGCATCCAGGCCATCGACGTCGTCGACCACCACCTCGTCAAGGCGCGGCGCAACGTGAAAGCCGCCGGGCTCGACAATGCCGTCACCGTCCGCAAGGGCGACTACCACCATCTGGAGCACTTCCCGAGCGAGTGCGTCGACGGCGTCTACACCATGGAGACGTTCGTGCATGCGACCGACCCGGCCGCCGCGCTGGGTGAGTTCTTTCGCGTGCTGAAGCCCGGCGGCTCGATTGCGCTGTACGAGTACGATCATCGCCAGCGCGAGGCCGCGCTGCAGGCCGCGTCCGAGAAGCTGGTCACCACGCTCGAGTCGATCAACAAGTACGCCGCCATGCCGGCCAACACGCTCTTCGACCAGGGCGTGCTGCCGGCGATGATGGAGGAGGCCGGCTTTACCGACGTCAAGGTCACCGATCTCTCCGTGCATGTGAGGCCCATGCTGCGGCTGTTCTTCATATGCGCGTATCTGCCGTACATCTTCATCAAGTTCTTCGGGCTCGAGCGCTGGTTCATCAACACCGTCGCCGGCGTCGAGGCCTACAGGGGCTCCCATATCTGGCGATATGTCGCCGTCACGGCGAAGAAGCCGTCGACCACTGACAGGCCCCGGGAAGCAAAGAAGGTGCAATGAGTTGGGAAGTCAATTCTGTCATATTCTGCTTTTACGAGTTATAGTTCTCGATCGAGTCCGGTGCAGGATGATTCTTCTCATGTGATGACACGTTGTTGGCATGAATTGGCTGGTACAGAACGATGCACAAGCGATATGCTTATGTACTGTACACATGATGTGATGATATCTGATCTGCTATGCTGCATATTTCCGAATGATGAATCAACCTTCTTTTATTTTTCCGCTTCGTCTTCTTCACCGGTGTAATTTGACCAAAATGCAGACTCCTTGCGGCGTCGTACTGATTGCGCGGTATCTGCACTGTATTTCGTCAAAAAGGAAAAAAAAAAGAAGAGAGAGAAGATGATGATGATCTCTAAGAAATGACGAAAGAAACGTCACAGATGCGGAAGGATATTCGTCCAATTCACCGTCATATACGCGCTTGCCGGAAGCGAGCGCAACTCCAGAATGTCCTCGAACAAGATATACGTCCGACAATGGCAGTAAATAAACCCGACGACGTACATGGGCAGGATGGCTTTGAGCGGCACGGTCAAGTCCGGGTCCTGCTCCAACGAGTTGTTGCGGCAGCAATCCGCCACGGTCATCGCGATCCGTTTCAACCGTGATTTCTCCTGGGCGATCCGCTGACGGCGACTCCGGGGCTGGCCTTCCTCATCCTGCTTGCCCATCGCAGGGAAGAAGCGCTGCTGGATCGATGGGTAGACGGAGAAGGCAAACTCGCTGATGGCGCAGTACGCGAACAGGCAGCCCATCACCCCCACCGACGCTGCACGCCAGAGAATTTTCTCCGCCCGGGTCGGAAAGCTGTAGTTCCAACCGCAGATGAAAATCGAGGCATAAATGAGCGTCACGAGAAGAGACACCCAGTACCCGGCCCGCGACGGCTCGGGGATGATGGTATTCTCGAAGCGATTCACCGGCCGGACGCGTGGCCCGAAGACAATGCCCATATTGCGGAGGATGTTGATCCAGTTCGACCAATACAACGACCACTGCCACTCCTTGCGACTTACAAAGTCCAACGGGGTGCGGCTGTATGGTTTCTTCGCCCGATCCCCGGCCCTGATTAAGATCTGGGCAATGCTTACGTCAGTCTCTATCACATCGGGCGTTGTGATATCTGCTGGCTTGTGCACCCAGCAGTAAGTCGTCCCAAAGCTGCACACAATAAATGCAGCCGTCGTCAGCTCTCCTGTTGTGATGGCCAGGTGTTGCACCGCCCGTCCAGTGATATTGACGAGAAACCAGAAGATCTGGCAGAGTGTGATGAACCGCAGCATGCCGTCGACCTTGTTCTTGTCCACAATCACCCGCTTGTCGAGTTTGGGGAGGTCGATGTATCCCTCTGTGACCAAGTAATGGAGCTGTTTAGCGTCGATTGGAAACGGCGTCCAGTCTCGGGTCTGGAGGACGAACCCGCCCATGTCAGCATAGAAGGCATGGGTCATCGTCCATTGCGTATATCCAGACGCATGGAAATCCCGTACGGACCGACGTGCAGATTCCCACTGCGCTAGAGCGATTTGGAAGATGAACTCCGGGCCCAGGAGAGCGAGGGTGGTTAGATAGACCTTTCGTCTCAACACCTTGAACGCGGTGTCATCAGGCCCCGGCACATTGAGGCAGAGAATTGACCAGGAGCAAAGAAACATGGTGAAGGCGCAGCTCCATATGATATCGAGGGTGCCTCGACCGTTTGGCTGTGACGTCCATCCTTGCCGTTGGACTTTATCGTCGACGAGGGCTGCTCCTGCGGAAGCATTGACAGTGACGCTGGTCTCGCTGGAAGCAGCCAAGGAACTGTTAATCCAGAAGAAACAAGTCAGAATGAAAAAGCTCGCAAGACGAGACGACATGAGAGGTTGATACCGAGTCTTCGTAAAAGTAGCACCTCCATTATGGTTGTTTAGCTAGATCATCAACATGGGTAGTAGTTGCCATCTATATAGATGCTGTGGTATAGATACCCTGTTCATCGAGCGCATACGGTTGGTAGTCTACTGAAACATGCTAAGTATGACCCCTGTCCAACGAAGACATTGGCGAAAGTTCAAAGGCGAGAAATGGACTACTGTACATACCTTTGGTTGTTGGGCATGAGATAATGCAGGACCAACGCTGCCGTTTAATAGGCTCGATTTCGTCGAGGATTTCCAGCGACTGTGAGGCCATCTCATCGACGGGATGGCAAACTACCGTTCTCGTATGCAGGGGCAGTGAGCGTCTCGCTCGTCAGGTACTCTTCGAGTTGCGTACGGTTCATTGGCAGCCCTGTATCAGTGCAGTCGCTGTGCATTGTCGATAGTATCTATTCTTGGATCTGGATTGCTGAGTTGGATGGGTGAGTGACGATGCAACACCCTCGGCGGCTAACAATGACCGATGATAGGATGGTCCTTTGGTGTTATGCAACGCAACTCAGAAATCAGCAGATCGACGACATGAACTGTTGAGATCGCCAGGAAAAACGCTCAAGGTTAAAAAAGAAAAGAAAAGAAGATAAAAGACGGGTGGAAGAGCCGCTGTCCTAGTACATAATAATGGTCTGTTCTCTCAACAGTAGGAAGTCGGACCCATTCATTCACCTCGGCGTCGAAGAGCCAATCGTCGGTCTCCTCTCTCTAGTATGTTTCATATATGAATAATGTGTGAGCCCGCTTTTCTCTTTTGACCCTTTTGCAGAATATAGATGAACATCTACTTCTTAATCGACACTGAAAACCGCAGCGCCATAGTTGACTTTTGGTCAATAAAAATAGCACAGAATCCGTTGATTTTTATGAGACAATAGTAATCAGAGAGTTTGCAGTTTAGGAATCAATAAAACGAATAGGAAATATGGTGTCTTGTTTCAGGATTCAAAGCAGAGTCCATCTGAGATTCATAAGACAGGAATACAAATACTCAATTTCAAAGGGGAAGCAATATCCCATGCAACTGTTTCCTGTAAATTTAAAATGAATTGGCCCGTAGGCTCAATAGCAGTGACTCCATAAGTCAGTGCTGTCGCACTTGATAACGCTATCCTATCAATTAATTATATTTTTCAATAAGAACGTCCTTCAACAGCAGCCCTATTCGCATAAATACTTATCAGACCTGTGTACTATCTTTTCTTTATCACAAGTCCTAAACAGAAAGTGAAAGTGATAGAAACAAAGAAAAAAAAAGAAGAAAAAGAAAAGAAAAAGAAAAAGAAAAATCCCCTCTTACACAAGCCCCACAACCATCATAAAAACCTTCCTGACATATAGGTGATTCATCTTATTTTCGCTTCTATATCAGCCCAGCAGCCTTTATTTGCATAAAAGCATGATATCATGGCAGTGCTATTATATTATACAACGACATACAGGGATGTTGCAGTTGATCACATTACCACAGGCAGCACAGCCACATTGTCTTTTGTAGTAATGGCCCAGGTTATTGTTGTTGTTATTGTTCTGATTCAGTGGTGTTGCGAGCGCGAAGCTGGTGATGAGAAGCATGAAGGGGAATGATGCCTTCATGGTGGAATTAATCTTTTTTGTTACGGTGGGCAGGTTGAGTTCAATCAATGGATAATACTGAGCTTTGAGTTCGAGAGATGAGACTGAAGAAAAGAAAGGAAATAAGAAATAAGAAATAAAAAGCCAGAGTCAGAGGCACGTATCCTTATGTAGTTCCTGACTTTGTCATGACTACGCTGTTATCTGCTATCCTGCCTTGCTTGTCTGCTATAAAGACTATTTTTATGATATATTATATCATAAGCATCTCCGTAAGCACTTAAATAACTTACTAAGAACTTGAATTATTGGTAAGCACCTTGATAGGCTTACTTACAAGGCAGTACTACGTGTATACAGTATAGGCAGCAGTATACCTAAGAGCAGAACTGTAGCAAGTTATAGTAGCAAGTAGTAATGATAGTTACTAATGACACGGACTAAATTTAGTTGCTTACTGATACATATCCAGAGATATATCAATCTTGCCCCATACTTTAGAGCCATACAATTCGCTCGTTTCTGCAGTTTTCAGCCTCGAAGGATTAATTTCAATCAGATGATGTCTCCTTGTTAGGTTTAGTGGAGTTTGGTCAGCACCAGCATGCAAGATTGTGGCAGCTCTAAATATTCTTAGTTTTTAATTTGGTATCAGATCGACTCTGATTATTTTTGGATACTTATGAAGGCCTTTTTTTTTATTTTGAGCGTATATTAATTAGACGGTATTCGTAGTGCGTTGCATTCTCTTAGCCTTATTTCGTGAATAAACAGCTAGTTGGCCGTCGTTTTATATTTCCACTTCGTCTCGCTTTCTATAGTAAAACCTAAGTAGTAAGTAGCCGATAACGTCTTGCAAACAGTGATGAAAAGACAGCTATTTCAGACAAAACTCATGGCGTTGTTTTTCCCATTCTTTCCACATATCTGGCCTGAGCCTGGGCCTTCTCACCACTCCCCAGTGCATCTTCAAGCTCGTCCCGAAGAACAATCGCCTCGCCCCTCTTGATCTTCTTTCGGAACTCTCCTGCCTTCTTCACTGGGTTGGACGCCTTATCGACGAATACTGCGTCCAAAACCTCGAGACTTAGACCAGCGGTCTCCGGGAGGAAGAAGTATATGATAGGGAAGAAAGATAAGTTGAAGATTGCGAAGACTGGATTGATAGGTCGTTAGAATCATGTGGATAGTTCCAAGAGTTGCGAGGAGACAGTTAACCAAAAGAAATGTCACGCAGGTGCACTTACTGATATACATTCGCCAGCCGATGTTTGCCAACCCAATCGGCGTGACGAAAATCATGACAAAGTTCCACACCCACTGGCAACCGACCGCAAATCCCATCCCCTTGCTTCGGCAGTCGAGCGGCAGGATTTCGGCAGTGTAGCACCAGAGATTGCCCATCCATCCCCAGGTGAAGAATGCTTCGTACAGGAATATCGCCGTGGCGGCAACGATCCCGGATGCGTAAGTATTCACCTCTACCATCGCGGCTATGACGGCCATGGCAATTGCCATCGCAATGCAGAAGATCAGAAAAAGGGGCCGACGTCCCGCGCGCTCGATCAGGAACCAGGTGAGAAAAGAAGCGGCGAGGAACCAGATGGAGAGATAGCCTGACATTAACTGCGCTTGGTTGCGGTCCATGCCAATGGAATTCTGAAAGCTGCAACAGTATCAGCTGCTGGTCTACTCTGGAGGCTGTGAATTCGCAGTTAGTTGGTTTGAAGAGCTTACATGACTGTCTGGTAGTACGTGATGACAGCACTCCCGCTGAATGGCTGCATCGACTGGAGGCCGATTGCAAGAGCGACCCGCCAGCGCGAGCGCACGTTGTCTTCTTTGAACAAGTCTAGCCAGCCTCGCTGAACAGAGTTCTCATATATGATTGCTGCCCTGATTTCTTCGGCCTCCGTTTCTACCTTAGTTTCATCCGCAGAAGAGCTGAGGCACCTAAGAACCTGGACCGCCTCTTCATCCCGGTCATGGCTGAACAGCCAACGAGGGGACTCAGGCATGAAGAAGAGCATGAGGCTGACTATAATAGCGATAATCGCCTGCAAGGCAAAAGGAAATCTCCACGAGAAGCTACTACTATACCGGCTGGTGCCATATTCCGCCCAGTATGCAATCAACTACGCCACTGTCAGTGTCCCAATTCGTAGCCATTGTAGAGGGAAGGATACTACCTGGCCTAGCAGCACAAATGACAGAGAAGAGCAGACCATCGTACCCCGAATAGACGCGGGAGACGTCTCCGCTTGCCACACGGGTACGCTGCTAGTGATAAAACCCATCCCTATGCCTGCCACGATCCGGCCAACGATCAATTGAGCGGTAGAGTAGCTACTGGTCTGGATGGCTGCGCCAATGCACACACAGAGAGTTCCCATATGGATAATGGTGCGTCTTCCCCAAGGTTCGCCAAACAAGCTCACGCTCCATGCGCCGATGATGCATCCAAGCTCAAACATGGCTGTCATGGTGCCTTCCATGGTGGAGCTGAGGTGGAATTGTTCCTCGAAGGAGGGAGCGCCCAGAACGGAACCCATGACTCCGTTATCATAGCCTAGAGAAATTCCAGTCAGCTGGCTGTTGAGACGATTGGCAAAGTGCTTACCAAAAAGAATGAAGCCCATGCCAGCAGAAGCAGTCACTGCTGCCAGGAGCTTCTTGCCCCTGAGGCCCAAGTACGGCATCGTGATAGGAGCCTATCGTGTCTCGCAGAACTTCAGGGAGTGAATGCAATCCAATCTGAAGAAAGGCTGTACAAAACCATCATCGCTGATTATTCTGTCGGACAAGCTCGTCCGACTCGCAGCAAAATATATACCCGGCAGGCTGGAAGGAAAGACAGACGGTCATTATAGAAGCTTCAGGAACGGGGAATTCCCCCACAAGCCTCCTAGCAAAGCGGGGCCCAATGATAATCCGTAGAATTTCCATTCCAGATGAAGTCGAAGTCGCTTTCAAGAACGGTGAGCGCCTTAGCTTCACCAGCGTGGCAGTAGCGGTGGGGAAGAAATCCGGGGATTGTATGCGGGGATTCTCCGTCGACGGACATACTGCCGAACTGGATCCATTTGGCAAACCATAAGGGAGATTCTGTATTTGAACAATTCCCATACGCCACTATTCTGAATAATCTAATTACATGAGTAACCTTGGGAGTCATTGAGCTTAGCCATCTTGGCTGGTGTCTAAGCATTGAGGGCATCGTCTTCGCAGTGCATGGATTATTGACTGATACGAATGATTGGCCCAAAACAACCAGTTAAGAACTTTAAAATCCGGCCTAACTCCTGCTCGTTCAATTCAGGAATAAATCTTCCGCTCTCTGGCCACGATTCTGGCAAGAGATTCCGGTGCGGGCCCGTCACCGTTAATCTGCTTCAGTCAGCGGCACATGACCCGATATAACGCCTCGACGGTAGTTATAGAATAGCTGAACCAGTCAACCATGGGACTAGGAGAAGAACTTTGTTCTGATTTAGCGGGAAATAAATTTTTTCGATTCAATCAAACTATAAAACCAAGTATAAAAACTCGTATTGTATAAGATGGAGCTACACTTCCGATGTTGATTTAAGTTATTATGCCCGATTAGGAAGGTGGAAAGTGATACAGAGTAAAATGTTCAGCGCTGAAATCTACCCTGAACTACCTCGAATTCACTTATTTTGGCACAATATACTCTTTTATTACGTAGTTATTACTCTGCGGCTAGGTGATATTTTTAAACTCGAGGAGGTTGGATGTTCCTCTGTATTAGCAATTAAAAAGTACTTATTGGCGAATGAATTAGGTAGGTAGGTATGGAGTATTTTTTTTTCTAAAAAAAAGAAAAGAAAAGAAAAGAAATACTCACTTTCTTCAGGATGGATGGGAACGACAATATGAAGAACTAAACCAATCAATCGTTATATACCAGTATATAGCTCGCAGCTCAATGGTGTAACATTACAACACAATGCAGTGTTTTCGGGAAAGGAGAGGGGAAATAAAAAGAAACAGGAAAATATATTAACGCACCCTTGCAGAATATAAAGTCACTTTTCATTGTCTATGCACGCTATGCAAGCTGTTTTACACCCGATGCTCCTTATGTTCAGGGTATCTATGAGCCAAACAGTGCAAAATGACATGCTATGTAGTAAAACAAAAAAATCACTCCTTAACTCCCATCAACTGCTCCAGCTCCTCATGCGTCAAGGTACTTCGTCTCCGACCCTGCGACTTCCTGACCTGGCCTCTGCTCCTCTTGCGCGTGTCTTGTTTGCTGTTCTCCTCAGCCGCCGCTTGCGCTTCCGCTTCCACCGCAGCAAGCTTCTCCTCAACAGACAGCCGTGGCCCTCGATGAGCCTGCTCAAAATGAATGTCAGTCTGATCTTTTCATTGTCGATCCGTATTCTTTGTCCATCCCTTACCTGTCGTGGAATTTTGGTTGACGTTCTCCTTCGTGCTGGCCTTTGCGTGACAGTCTCTGAAGTATGGGCCTTTAACATTAGTTCCTCTTCCTCGCCATCTACTTTGCCGGCGGGATCCATGGGCTCTTCATGAAAAGAGACCTTTCGCGGTGACTTTGATCCGATATTTCCGTTCCTCTCGCCTAACGCGCGCATCGGGCGCTTGGCCAGCGTTGGTTTCAAAACCTTCGCATCCGTTTCAGGAGTATCGTCGTCCTCCTCGCCTTCTTCGCAGTCCTCAGCTCTATCTTCGTCTTCATATATCACTGGCGGCCCATTCACGCCCGCAGCCGCAGACCGAGCCCTTCCCAGATCCAAGCCCATGCTCTTCTTCAGTTCCTCAACATCTGCTGAATCGAGGCCATCGGAAATCCGCTTATGCCAGCCATCAATCATCGCCATGGCTTCCTTCCACCGGCTCTCCATCTTTTCCCACCCTTCTCGCAGACGCATAATCTCCTCTTCGCGGACCTCAACCTCTTCGAGAGGTACAAATGACGGGTTTGTCAGTAATGTTCTCAAGTGATCAAGCACCGTGTTCATCTCAGCAGTCAACTCTTCACACGAAGTAGGAAGCGTCGCGACTGGTCCTTGGCCACTCTTGTGGACACTTCCAGAGGCGCCTAGGCTGGAATTGTCGCCTCCTTCTGGGGTATTCGATATGCCTTGCAACTCCTTTAGAGTCTGGATGGTGTTCCTCGTGAGGGAGATGAGGGTGTCGTTTTCGTCGCTCAAACTCTGGCAGAGTTCTGTTAAAAACTCAGTGGATTCTTGCTTCAGACTGTAACCAGGACTATTAACATCTGGCCCTCCAGAGACCAGTCGAGATCTTGAGTTCCGTTCGGGTACCGGATTGATATTAATCGTCGTCACTCCCAGGCCTTCCCGTTTCCCTCGCTGACGGTCCGCTAAATGCGACTTCAGCTTTTGCATTTCGGCATCTCGCTTGCGGATATCATTCGCACACTGCGCCCGAACTTGCTGGATCGTTGTTTTCATCCTCTGCACCTGGTCTTTTAAGCTACGGATGGTAGCTTCCGCATTTCGAAGGTTCGTTTTAAAGGCACGCTCCTGACCCTCAGCCAGGGCCAATGAGCGAGATAACTCGGAATTTTTCAACTTGAGTCTCTCCTAGATGATGCAAAGCAAATTAGCGATCTGTTTCTGCGTTTCGTGGAAAAAGTCTGCGTACAATTTCGAGTGCCTGCTGGGATTCAGTCGCACGTAAAGATTGGATTGTGTTCGCAAGATTCTCTCGATGTTCAGCTTCTCGCTATTATTCTGGTTAGTCCACTGATTATGAGGAATTCATAGCTCGTCACTGACATCTCTTCTTATAACCAGGTCATTGATGAGATTGATGATCTTGGCCATCGTTGCATCGATCCCTCCTCCATTCTCGGGCCGGGCAAAATCAATCGCCTTGCCATTCTTGAGCAGGCCACGGGCAAGCAGTAGATTGTTGATATACGTCGATGCTGTCTGCAAATTGTGCGCCTCCATGGCGTGTGGTGTCGCAGGGATGCTCCCCTTCGACGCTGTGATCCCGGGCTAGTTTTCAGACCGCCGAAAAGGGAAGAAAGTAAACACAGCAGTATGGCGGTCAACAAGAACCAATCAGGCAAGTTGCAAACATCACGTGATGACCTAACATCACATGATTCTTCACACGTCACGACGCGTTCCGCGCGGTCGGTATTAATATTGCGCTTATCGTTAATTTACGAAGTAGGTAGCAATCCTAGCTCCAGACTAGATTCAATGACGACGGATCTTTTGAGGTAAACTATGGATGGTCGAGGTTTGTGCTGTGATGGCTACACAAGAAACATCAGTCCCTGACAGATCAATTGTGACAGGCGTTCCATGGAGTGGTCCGGCCCAGATCCAGCAACATGGTCAGGAACTCTATCGGCGCGGAGACTATGATAAGGCAGTCGAAGTGTTTACCCAGGTAATCCCCACTTGAGAAAACGAGTCCTTTTCATTTGCTTTGATTATAATTTTTTGGTTATTTTTCATTTATTTATTTTTTTAAAAAAAATTTCATTTGCAAGGATCATTCCTGACTGTGTACAAGGCACTGAAGGGCGACGATGCAGACGTTTTGGGAATCCTGGACAATCGATCAGCAACATACTGCAAACAGGGAAATTTCGAGCTTGCCTTGCGGGATGCCAAGCAGATGATCAAGAGAGAGCGGCACGATGAGCGAGTACAGGCTGCCATTTAAATAGTCCTGACGACGGCTGCAGATTCACTGACTGAGCGGCAGGGATATCTCCGCGCTGCCAAAGCCCTTCTCTTGAATAAAAAGCCTGAAAAGGCGCTTGATATGTACGCTTATGGTCTGAAGACATTACCCAAGGACCATCCCCGCCGCAGTGTGAGACAAGACAATTGATGACGAAGGTGGACATGGGACACGAATACTAACGGATCCACTACAGATTTTGCAAGAGCTCCATGACAAGCTCCAAGATAGAATGGCTGCAAAATTCAGAGATCCTTTCGATGTGTTACCTCTGGAGATTGCTGTAATGGTCCTTCGTCATTTAAACTTCAAGCAGATTGTGTATGCCATCCCGTGAAATGACGTTGTTTCTCTGGATTTCTAATTTTCGTCTCCTTAGGGCAATCCTACGAGTCTCGAAGAAATGGGCACAATTTCTGAGCTCGATTCGTGAGCTGTGGCTGCACATGGATTTTTCCAGGGCTCGTTCCACTGTCTCGATGTCTGCCATACGTTCTTATCTCAGACGATCAAAAGGGATGCTAACTCATGCTACCATCGACCACGTCATCCCGTCGGCCATGGACAAAGTGTTGGAGCTCCTTAGTCGGTGTCCCGATCTGACGCATCTGCAGGTTGCGGGCCGATACGACGGAGACAGGCTATATAATCTTTTCAAGACGTCGAAGAAATTGAAGTCTCTCATCATATCAAGTGACATACCTGTGACTCGGGAATGCATGGTGAAGTTCTTGGACAACCTTCCCAATCTTGAAAGATTGGAGGTCCATCAAAGCCTTCGGTCACCTGATGATAACCATCTTAGTTCGGGAAGACTGCCGAATCTGAAAGCGCTGGCCCTGACCACACCCCAAAACGATTTCGCTGTTGGTGCTCTGGAACTGCGTCTACCTTGCTACGATGGCTTCCAAGATTATAACAAAATCAGGGTAGAGCCTCTGCCTAACCTCGAAGAATTGAGTCTACGCTGCGGGGCGGAAGATGTGCACAGCGGGTATTTCGTTGAACTTGAAAGTCTCTTCCATCCGAGGCTGCGGAAGCTCAGCCTCAGCTATCTCGAACTGATTGGGAACATGTTCCTGCCTTCAACCCTTGAACATCTCAGCATTCAGAGCTGCAAACTGCATGACGTAGAGGATAACACAGTTCACAGTTATCGGCAGCTCCCTAACCTCACCACGCTTGTGCTCGACGACTTTGCCTGGGTGACACCTTCACGGCTTGCTAGTCTCTTAAGCCCAGACAAGTCAGTTCTGAGGGTGTTGGAGGTCAAGAATTGCTTCAAGATCAGTGGTTCAGATATTGCACGCCTTGCCTCTGGGACCCGCGCATTGAAGGGGGTGCAGACTCTCACTCTGGAGGGCATGTACCACTTGGACGACGCGACCGTGAGACAGCTTCTCGAATCGATGCCCGAGTTACGGATCTTGAACATTCCCCACACCGCCGTCTCCGGGGTCACGATCAAGAGCATTGTCGACATGCGTGTGGCGGAGAAGGAGAGACGACAGAAGAAGAGATCAGAGAACTCATCCCCGCAGTCGTCGGATGATCCGCAAGCCGACAATGATCGAAAGCCCCTGATTGAAATCGTCAATCTAAAAGGCTGCGAAAATGTGTCGCTGGATGCGATCGAGTTTGGCCGGAAACAAGGACTCACCATCATCAGGTGATCGACAAGAATGACTTTTCCAAACGGAGAAAAAAAAAGACGCAACGAGAAGATAAAGAAAGAGAGAGAGAGAGAGAGAAAACATACGATGTGATGCCAACGATACACTTTGCACATATCATCCGCTTTTCCATCATCTAGTTAATTAATTCATTAATTATGGGATCTAGTAAGGTGGCGTTTCTGGATAAAGAAAGGAAAAGACACGAAAAGAAAAAGAAAGAAAAAGAAGAACAGATCAGAAGAAAAGAAATGGAACGGAATGGAATAGGATAGGAGTATTAATATTTCAGGGCACAAAAACACCACCAGCTTTCTGCCTTTTTTCTCTCTCTCTTTCTCTTCTGCATCTGCGTATTCCTTCTCCTGGTAATTAATGCTTACAGCATCTTCAACGCGGCTTGATTGATTGATTGAAGTCTACTAGATATAGCCTCTTTTGGAAATGAAACCAGTTAAAATGACCTAAAATTGAAAGGGGGTCAAAACAACAAAGAGGGAGGCAGCGCCAATGAGGTCGACAAAGAACCAAACACCCCCCCAAACCCCTCCCCCGCGGAGTCCGACCATATAATTCCTCACACAGGCAGCGATGGTGCAGTGGATAAGTAACCTAAGTCTCTTACACCACTAACATCCAGATGAACGGCCAGCGTTCCTTCGAATCCCTCTGGGTTCCAAGAACCCCATACCAAATATCAAAAAAAAAAAAACAATTATTGGTCTAGTAAAACACCCTGCCCGCCAAAAGCTAAGTAGGTGGGGAGTTTTCGTAGCATCAGCGAACGGGTCCTGGGAGGGTGGACTCTTGGTGTGAGCTTTTTTTTCATTTTTTATATCTTTCTTAAAAAGGTAAAAAAAGTTCTAGCACCCAGGTTCTTGGGTGGTGCTAGGAAAACCCCAGTTTTGCCTTAACTTCTCTGTGTTTGACAGAATCAGCATGGGTTTTACTGACGACACCAAGTCTCGAATCCGAGACCCCCAGCAAGAGAGGAGAGGAGGATGAGTGGAGCGGTGTTTACTGCTTGACTTACAGGTCCCAGTTTCTGTCAGTTATAATGAATCTCAGTGGAAGGTAGGAAGGGAGGGAGATTATTTTATTATTCTTGCCTCAGACGATGAAGGATAAAACTATCTATTTTGACTAAGAACTGCGTATTGACTGCTTCCTGAATGAGATTGCTTTATTCTTAGAGGCTGACACTACGTACTGGCACATCGTACATCCATAACAACAGTGACGCTGTGTCGCACAAAAGCAGCAAGACTAATCTATATAATCTACACACCCCGCTCCTTGCACCACCGCTCGACCTCTCGAGCCAGCTTCTCCCGCTGATCGCGCACCTCCTCCATCATCGACGCGAGCTGCTTTCTGTATGCGGCAATGAAGGCTGCATCGTCGTTAGAGCGTGCATTCCCGTTTGCGTTCCCGTTCTGTCTATGCTCACCGTCGTCTGTGATGTTGTCGTCCTTGTCCTTGAGGTACGTGTCGTAGGTAGAAATCATCAGGTCCATCACGGCTGAGAGTTGGTTGGGTAGCCACTGTATGAATGCATTTTTTGATCAGTTTATGGATGCTTCCATACTAAATGGATTGTGTACGCACCGTGACGATCGGACTGCCTCCCGTGGCCGTAGGATGGGGCGTCCTGCGGATGATATACTCCCTGGCGAACAGCCAGTGGCGCCAGCGGAAACTGCGGACGTGGTCGAGCGTCTTGAGGTACAGGATGGCCGTCTCCGGATCCTGAATGGCAAAATCGCGGACGCCGCGCTTTTCAGCCCGGTCAGCAACATAGGCGAGGAATTCGCGATGCGGACGTGGCCGGTAGGCGCGGAACTCGTAGAGGATTTTTGTCAGGGGAGTGTCCGGCATGGGTATTTGCAGGAGATGGTCGAGGAGGGGAATCTAGAACACAGAAGATTAGCACAAACATGTTGCTTCTATACTCTTTTTAGGTAGTCGTAAGTCGTACAATGCTGTCATTTGCACCACTCTCCCCTCGGAAGTACAAGGGCTTGTTGTCATTGATGCCCTCGTACACCACCCCGTTGGGGAACATGGACTGAGAGGTGATGCCGAAGATGAAGACACGGAAGGATAAGTAGTCGGAGGGCTTAGAATTCTTCCACATTTCTGTTTCAGTCGTTGTCAGCAAGTGTGTACGATTGAACTTGTAACAGACAAGACACAAGATGGCGGCGACGTGAACCTACCTTCCATGCAAGCTTCGATCTTCTCCATGGCTTTCAAAATCTCTCGAAAGCCATCGTTGACTGCAGACCTCTGACCACCTTGCTCAATGGCGTCGAGGACCTTGACTGCGCCAGTGATCAGGGGCGCGGTCTCCTTGACCATGTCAACATGCGTCAAGATGAAACCAGCCTCGGAGCTCTTTGGGTCGAGTCCACGTTCGAAGGCCCTGACCAGGCGGAGGTTGTTGTAGTGGTATCCCTCTGATGGCTTGTCAAGAGTGTAATTGAAGAGACAGTATGATGCAGCATAGGACAGGAAAGGTGGGAGGTCCAGTCTATATAAATTCAGTATGGGTCCAGCAACAGGGTAACAGACAATTAGGGTATACGTCATAGGATAGACTTACATCTGAGCACAGCGGTACATTGGTCCAGCAATAGCCTTGGGCAGAAAATCCCTCCCTAATCCATAGCCTCCTTGAGGGTTCTTGCACCAGTTCTCCCAGCAGGGCTCCAGCAGATATGCAGAGGCCAGGAAGGAATAGTCCCGGAACACAGTGGTGATGGTGAACAGGTCAGGCTTCCCATCCTTAGTGACAAGCTTGTCCACCTCCTCAGTCAGGTCAGGGAGCTCTGCATGAACGGTTGGGCCCAGTTGGTATGTGGCCAAGAGACCTGGAGAGCCATCATCCCTGACAACAGGAAGACGGTCCATAAGGGACTGGAGGGGCTTGAAGGCCTCTGGCAGTGTAGCAGGGGCCAGCCTGTAGGGCAGGAAGCCAGTGGAGGTAGTGATGGTGAAGGGATCAAGGGATGGGGGCAAGGTAGAAGGGTCATCATTGATGTGAGGGAAGTGTTTCACAGTAGACGGTGGAACAGTCTCAGCGACGGCCATGGTGCTCAGGAAGGGTTAAAAGATAAAGAGACAAGACAAATATATGTTATATGATATGGCTGATGATGATATGCTATATGTATGTAGGCAGGTACACTCTACCTCTATAGGGAGGAAGTTTAGGGTTCGTACGGGGAAGGGCCAGAAGGGTGGATCACTCCAGGGGGTAGTAGGAAGGCGCTAAGAAACAAGACAAAAAAGGCAGCAATATGTGTTGAGGATCTTCGTTCGACCACAGGACGGTAGAATAAAGAAGCAGAAACTCGAGTTTTTGGACGGGACACAAGCCAGGCTTATATATTCATTGAGGCCGGTATCAATTCCGGCCTCACATCCACCATTGCCCAAGAGAGTGTATAATGCAGTGGAGCCAATACGTCAGTGTTGCATTCGCTGTCAAAACGTTATAAACGAGATATCTAAGCTTGAATACGTGATTTTGATGCATTTCATCGACCAAAAGCATGGAAAAGGCAGCAATCCATGTCGTCTATCACAGCGAGGAGTCGATCTATAGAAGGAGGGCAAGACACGGTCACGGGTTCGCGCTAAACCGCATTGGGATCAGCTGAGATATCACTGTCAGGCGCGTCTATGCCCTATAAAACCCTCTAATTTTTGTCAATTCAGCTTCTAATGGATAGAATAAGGTATAGAAAACCACACAGATCAGTAACAGATCTCTTTATCGCCAGTTGCGTGGAGAAATTCCCTGTAATCGCATCATTTTCATAGATCGACATCCCCAGATCTGATATCATGCACGATCCTGATTGGCCAGAACAAGGTCACACCGTCAGCGCTTATTTGTGTTAGTTGCCAAGAGGCCGGAATTTTCCCGGCCTCCGACGATATCCGCCGATGGGCGACGGTAGCCAGCTCAGTTGCCTCAACGGGCAACCCGACCTATTCTCGTGGTCAGGTGACGCAGGTTAGCGAGAAGGCATGACGCTTGTAGGACAACATTAGAATCGTATTTATAAGAAGGGATTTGCTGATATCGTACGAACAGGGCCTAATTTCTATATGGGCATGATCAATCGAACAACTGCTTGAGTGGATTGCATGCACTCTGAAGCGCCAAAATTCCAATATGTGCGATATAAGTATCAGTTCAGTATAAGACCAGGAGTGTAGTAGCAGACGTGTCAATGCGCCGGTTGTCCTTGTCTTATGACGCTCAATGAGCTATGCTATGGATATCTCCACCCCCGCATTTTCCAGAAATAACTACGCCACTTTCCGTTGGCTAGGTCATCATCATATCCTTTCCTTTTAGCGCATATGAAGCCAGTAAAAAACTGGATCTCATCTGAGCAGAACATTTCTTATATTCGTTATTGTACAGTTATAGTACAGAGCTGGGTTATAATCATGCTTTGATCCCGATATCGGGAAACGGTAAACGACACTCTTCTCTAGCGATGGCGTCGAAAGCGCCTAAGGACACAATTAGCAATTGAAAGGCCTCCGTTTTATAGGAAACTATACTTATACTCCTGCATGAGAAAAGGACCACTTACCCTGTGGGAGGTATATCCATCGCAAGAAATAATCCACCTCCGAAGTCAACGACCCGGAAGAATAGACAAAACATGCCGATCCTATACAAATGTTGTCACGTTCCCTGACCTACCCCATTCCCATCACCGCCTTGTCCGCCGTCAGAAACATGTTGAATTTTTCGGTATTCTTCCTCGAGCCGCCTCTGCATCTCAAACTCGGCTTGCCGTTCGCGTTTGATGCGCTGCTTCTCCTCGTCCCGCAGAACGCCTGCGTGCATTGCCTGAGAACAGAACGTGTCAATTCAAGATTAATCAATTGAGACGTCACTGTCCGCAGACATCATGGGGAAACCTGGCCTACCGCTCTGTCTGCTTCTTGCGCCCAGTGGACAAAGTAGATGATGCCTGCCGCAGCAAGCGTTGTGGCGGCCAAGGTCACTTTGGAGGCCCGAGACATGGTGTCAATCACCTGTCTCTCTGGAGACAGGAGAACAAAATAAAAGAACGCGGCTGCAACGTCAATGGAGACAATGATGAGCGTGTCTATTGTCAGGCGGAGCTCCAAAATACTGCAATCGGGTTGGCATGTCGGCGGTCTGGGGCGGCAGAATCCACTGCGTGTTGACGCAGCGGCCCACCGGGGCGATTGCGGCCAAGCTGCCATCGCGAGCTCCACGACTCTGCTCCGTCTCCATCATTCCCTTCCTGATATCGATCTCATCACTCCTCCAGGGAGATCGATTTTCAATATGGTATATCTCATTTATTCCCTCTAATGACGCACTAGCGTGACTGGATATGCTGACCAGTTACAGTCTGCGCAGAACTCCGCGGGCATCCAGACCCTCCTGGATGTAAGTCGTCTTCCATATGGGCATTACCGCCGGTCGTGTTATCGCGGAGCTAATTCGCACATTATAGGCTGAGCGAGAAGCTCAGAAGATTGTCCAGCAAGGTGAGCTCCATGAGTCGATCTCTGGCAAATCGCAAGCTAACATCGCCGTCTAGCCAGAGAATGTATGCAAACCCCGCCTGACCACGTTTCAGGATGCCTGTTTTCAGCACGAGAGAAATCCCTGCTAACTCGAATAGACCGCACAAAGCGAGTAAAGGACGCTAGAACGGAGGCGCAGAAAGAAATCGAAGAGTACAGGAGGCAGAAGGAGGAAGAGTTCCGGAAGTTCGAAGCGGAGGTATGCTGTTTCAGAATATCCCCGGCATTTTGGCCGACAAGGATTGCGCATTGGTGCAATAATCAGCGGATGCAAAGCGAGGACACGCGGACTGACGTTGTGTGATCTTTTGCAGCACACGAGCGGTAACAAGAAGGCCGAAGAGGAAGCGAACAGGGAGGCCGAGCTGAGGCTCCAGGAGATCAAGGAGGCTGGCAAGAAGCACGGCGACAAGGTGGTAAGCGACCTGATTAACGCGGTGGTGAATGTCAAGCCCGAAGTGCCGGAGAAGATTGCGGCTGCATAGGCGGAAGAAGAGGAAAGGGGTTTTGGCTTTCTTGACGTCAGAAGAAGTCTGAAACTGGTCTTGTTAATTCTTGTATGACATATGTTCTGAGATACAATACACTGCGTCTTCCATTGTCCATAGATGTGGACATGGCGGTGCGACCTCTAAAAGAGAGATATTCTTCGCGCCCCAAAAACTGTAGATTTGATTACATAATTCCTGAGATTCTACTATTATTAGGTATATTTTCAGGCCATTGCAATGCATGGTGTATGAGTTACAAATCGAGTCAGTTGAAGCTGATTCCGGCCATCTTGGCTGAGCGCGGAGCGACTTGCTTGATGGCGTCACCGACGGCGGAACCTCCGTATCTTCACATCATCGTCCGCCAACCAGGCAGATACAACATGAGATGTGACGTTAGAACCCTTGGATGCAGTTCCATCCTAATTGACGTCCGGCCGTATCGCAGGCAATTATGTGTTAGTTGCAGGCGGCGGAGCTTCAGTTCTCGTCCAGCGGAGCGCAGTTCACAACGGCACGGTAGCGTGCATGATCCGCGCTTCAGGGATCTTGGGAAATTGATCGAGGATAAATATGCGTTCATACGGACCAACTATGGTTAGTGTTCTCGATAAGTCCTTTTTCAACGAAAATCTACTGAACTCGAGTTTCAGAAACCCCGACGCATACTATTGTGCTTGCGCATGGTTTGCTCGGCTTCGATGAGCTCCGCATCGCCGGTTCTTTCCTCCCGGCCATCCAGTATTGGTACGGTATCAAGGACGCCTTGTCCATGAAAGGAATCAAAGTGATCACTGCCACGGTGCCTCCGTATGGATCGATCGAGGAGCGTGCTGCAGAATTGGCCAGATATATTCGTGCCGGCGCCAAAGGCAAAGATGTCAATATCATTGCGTAAGCTCCCATCCCTGCAGAGCAAGAATTCCAATCAAGACCTGACTGACATTGCCCAGTCATAGTATGGTGAGATACCATACATGTCCCTGTCGTTTTCTAGGGAAGTATCGCTCATTGACGTGCATAGGGGTGAGCCACGCGCTGTGCGCTCTTCTAGTGAGCGTCGCTAATGCACCGTGAAGAGGACTGGACTCTCGTTACATGATCACCAGGTTAAAGCCGACAGAGTTCAATGTAAAATCGCTAACCACGATTGCTACTCCCCATCGCGGTTGGTAGGAATGGGTACGGTACTAGGACATGGCTGACTGGAGCAGGTTCCGCTGTAGCCGACTATTTTGTCGGACTTGTTGATAGCAATGGTCTGTTGTCGTTCAATGTTACAAGATCCTTGCTGAAGTCGGATAACAAGCTTACTTCATCTTAGTTGCTCGGCTACGTCGGCTGTCTTCGTTAATTGATCGAGTCAAGTTCGACGCGCGCGCTTTCAGCCAGTTAACACGCAAGTATATGCAAGAGGAGTTCAATCCCAATACGCCTGACGTCGAGCATGTTAAGTCAGTGGCTCTCATTTAGGTGTCTTATCCAGGAGACGGCCGGAGTTGCTGAGACTTCTCGACTAGGTACTTTTCATACGGAGCTCTATTTCATCCAGGCCTGTTCTCCATATTCCGCCAATCCCATCGGATTCTGGAGGACATCGAGGGGCCAAATGACGGATTGGTTAGTGTCGCCAGCAGTAAATGGGGTGGTGATGCTGGCTATAGGGGCACGCTCGTGGGCGTCAATCACCTGGATCTCATCAACTGGACCAATCGACTCGATTGGCTTATAGGCGGGCTGACAGGGAAAAAGAGAAAGTTCGTATCTAAACCCTTCACGACAGGATTGTTCATCGTTATCTGATTGCCTGCTGATTCATTCTGGGATTACAGGTTCAATGCCATTGCTTTCTACCTGGACATTGCAGGTATGCGGCAGATAACGTCCCCCTTGTCTCATGATAACCAGGCTGAATGCGCTAGCAGACATGCTTGCAAAAGAGGGCTTATGACTTGGAAACGAATACGTGTCATGTCCTTTTCAACAACTCCAGCTGAACATGCCTGTAGTCAGGTTCTACACATAGCCATAGATGCATCCGATACCCAGGATACAAGGTCGCACGCCAAGGCAGAAGCGTTTTATCGCTGTAGCTGGTACAGTGGCAGTTGTATCGGGGCTTGGTTTAGTGCGCCCAGATGAGGCTGTGCTCGCACCAATCCCCTGAATGGAATGGCTTGAAGACCAGGTACATACAGCAGATCCTCCACATGAGCAGAGCATAGTCGTACTCCGTAGTTTCACCATACACTAGTGGAATGGACTGCGTTGAAGGTTACGGGATACTATGCTGTCCGTAGAAATCGAAGCGTCCGGCAGGCGGCGGATTCGCGCATCCCGCCCGGCCAGCCAACAAAAAACGTCATCAGGCTTCCGAATGCTTAGCTTGTACTGGCACAGCTTTCTACATTCTGGCCATCCCTCCAAAACACCCAATTAATACTGATGCTGCGCTCGTTTCTCTCCTCCGGTCTCTGCGCATCTGACCTCCATGCTTCCACGAAAGGCAACGGACGGATTGACTTGTAGAGCCTCCTAGTCGCCTGCTCCACCTCCCCTCCATCCCCCCGCCATGGCAGCCAGAATCCATCTGGACCGGCCACACGCCCATTTCACCAATCTCGATGTCCTTACCGGCAGGGTTATTCTCCAGCTGCACACAGATACCTCGATAAGCTCGATCAATGTGAAATTGGAAGGGGAGAGTCGCACGCGCCTCTCGGGTCCGCGGCATGATGGTTCGGACAAGAAAAAGACGGAGCTCGAAGTCCACAAGGTGAGGAACCCATTGTGATTTCGCAATTGCTCAGTCGACAGCCGGCTCACACGAGTAGATATTGTACAAAGTCACCACCGTCTTCCCGAGTCCGGATGTCGCCCAGCACAGCTCCCCCCATGCGGCGTTCACTCTGGCTCCAGGTACCTACGAATATCCGTTTCAGTTCAAAGTGAGTGATGTCGGTTTGGACAGGAGTCGATAGCGCGCTGACTGACGGGTTGTCCAGTTCCCGTTCAATAACTCGTGCAGCAACCACAATTCCATGATGACGAATATAAACATGACGGGATTGCGAGTCGAGGTCGCGAGGGATACGGATCGACACGTGAAGAAGACACTGCCTCCGTCGATAAAGTCCTTTCCCGGAGAAGCAGAGATTAGATACTATGTCAAAGCCACCGTCGTACGGCCCCAGTTCTATAAGGAGAACATTCGAGCGGTACGCGCGACTTTACTGCACCGTCGATACAGATCATACAGCTAATCACGATCCTACAGTTCGCCGACTTCAACTTTCTCCCAATTGAACCCCCAAGGAGCGGTAATCCCAATGAGGAGATGTACGCCCGACGTCAGCACGAATTTTCGAGACCTGTCGCTTCTCAGAAAAAGAGGGGACTGTTCCATAAAAGGTCGCTGCCTGCGTTGACCACGTCCAGAGAACCACCAGTACGGGTCTCCGTCGACGCCCGATTACCAAATCCTCCAATCCTCACTTGCAACGCGCCGATCCCACTTCGAATCCTTGTGACGAAGCAATCCATGAGCCCCGAGCCGGTATATTTGCAGTTGCTGCAAATTGAGCTCATCGGTTACACGCACATCCGTGCTCACGATCTCGAGCGGGTAGAGACTCTGAGCACGCTGATCCTCAGTCAGAGCAACATGAACATGCCTCTTGGGAAAGGCAATGACCCTGTAGGGACGGAGTGGAAGATAGATGCTAGCTTGTGGAATCGGATACCCCTGCCTCCCAACATCGCACCCTCCTTCGAGACATGCAACATCCGCAGGAGCTACGAATTAGACGTGCGGGTTGGGCTGACCTACGGCGCACCCGGAGCGATGCAGGTACGTATGGTATGCTTTAACCTCTTAGGGTCACCTGTCCTGACGTGCGCTTCTGGTTTCAGTCTCAGGTTATCGTCTTACCTCTGAGACTGGGTGTGAAGGTCTACTCTGGAATCGCTCCGCCAAGGGCGCTTCTGGAGGCCATGGCCGCAGAGGGAAAGATCCAGCGTGTCAGGCCTGAACCACCGCCTCGTCCATCCGCTAATGAAGATGTGCCGCCTCCCATGCCTGCAAGACCTACTCCTCCTCCCGCCCCAGCTCCCGCTCCCGATCCCGCTCCTCCGGCTTCTATCCCAGCAGTCCTTGCCCAGGAAGATGAGCCGCCAGATGATGCACCACCGAGTTATGAGGACGCCATGGCAGAAGGGATTGGTCCGATAGATGGCCCACGCCCAGAGTATAACCCACCCAACACCTCTGCCGATAGGGGACTCTCAGGACCCGTCACTGATGCCAAAGCCCCAGTCGATTCCACGAGGGATGAAAAGGTCTATTCCAACAACAGCCCTTTATCGCGTGCTTCATCCGAGTCTGTGGATATGCTCCCGACAACGCCGGGCTCGCGGCCAGAGTCTCTCGCCGACGAGAGTTGGATCCAGGAGCCAGAAGCGACGACGACGAGCCAGCCGAGTTTTCCGCACAAGGGGAGTGATCATCTCAGTGAGCAGTCTCAGTACGGTGCCCCGCAGCAGCCGGGATCTGCTCGAGCCGATCAACGGAGTCCGCCAGGACGACCGGGGCTGAGTATCCGCACGTTCAGTACGGGTGTCCCGAATCGAAGACCGGTGCCAGGGAACCCGGGGAGCGGCGGAGCGTCTCAGTCATGAGAGCCAGATACGACAGAATACCACTGTCTACGACTGTGTCCGACAATGGGTAATTTGTTCCTTTCTTTTCACACATTTGTGTCATCTTGCCGATGACCTTTGTCGATGACCACGGGTATATATATCCTCCAATCTGGGAGGATGCAACGCACGCAATGCATTTACATGGAGTTATGGTTGCATACAGTGTTTTTGGGATGGGTAATCTTTTTTTTTTGGTATTTCCTTTTTCTTCTAGTATTAGTCTTTTTTTTTGTCCCCCTTTTTTCCCCTTCTTAGTTCATTTTTAATTTTCCCTTCCTTTTTTTTAACGCTGAACGATATCCACTCTAGTCTGTAATGCGATTGTATATATATATCTATATACATTTTACATCAATTTTGAAATGTAGCTCTTTGGAGTTTCCCGTGACCATGAAATCAGTTAGCACGACCGAATGATTCTATCTTAGCATCCTGAGCACTCTCAGCCAAAAAAAAATGTGTAGAAAGAAAGCAATCAAATCAAATCCGAGATCAAAGTTTCCATTGAGACATGTCCGTGTCATCATAATCCTCCTCATACCAGCGTGATGCTCTGGGCGGTATCGCTAAGCCCCATAGACCCCAGATTTTATTGCGCCAGATACGACTTGGTCGGTCGATAGGGGAGGCACGTTGAAACCCGATAATGTAACTGTCATCAGATAAATGGGATGTAAGCTTTGGGAATTTCACATTGGTTTTGGTAAAGAACACCAAATTATAGCAGAGATAATAGAAGCTAGAAAGAAGAACGGGAGAAGGAATAATACATCTTCTTTGACTCCTCATCCCAGAGAGGACGTTTAAGTGCAGTGAACATGGGGTAAATACCTGCATCGATAAGATTCCTATTTTTTTGGCAGATAGATAGATATAGATAGATAGATAGATATGCATATTAGCAAATGTATTTATTTACTGATGGGCTTCTAACTGATGTACCCAACATGTCATCATATGGCATTACTAGAAAGAAATGTGAGAGAGAGAGAGAGAGAGATACGTGTGAGCAACCTTGAATGCCTCGCGAATATCGTCACGCGTGGTATCAGGCAAAGTCCAAAAGAGGGCATCCATTTCAATGTTGTGCCCGAGGCGAATGCCAGGTAATCGAATCATCAACAGGTAGAAGATGTAGCCGCCAGGAACAAATCCATCTTCATCTTGTTTGTCCTTTTTGTAGCCTAGGAGGGTAGGCGTCGATTCGCAGCGCTTCTCCGTCAAGCGCTGGAGAGCATCGAATTCTGATTGAGCTATTGAGTCGAGTGTTTCTGAAGCCTGTTCTGCCCTTTCTTCGGGACGGTCCATTTCTGAGCCCTTGTATGGAAGCTGCATGTAGATCCTCATCAGGGCCTCTTCGCTGGGATTGTCGACGTTTTGACAGACGAATAATGCCGAAGCAGAAGAGGGGGTTTTGTAAGTCTCATAGTCACTCTCGTCCAACTGTCGGTGTTTCTCGTTGACTTTGGTGACCAGCGTCCATGTTGAAGGGCGTGGTTCAGTGAAGCTGATGTTAGTCCCAATAATAAAATGTCTACTGAAAAAAAACCTCTGCTACCCATGGAGATAGAGGAATAATGAGCATCTACATGGATATTTGTAGACTGCCAGCTACAACTCGGGGAGCAACCTTAAGAGTATAGTAATTACCTAACGTAGGCGTGTTTGGATTTGCACACGTGACCGTTCACGGCCTTCCATGTTGCTGCCTTGATCTACTGTGTTGCTGGCGCTGACATGTCTGCTATCAAAGAAGATGTGATCTATGTTCAATTTGGGTGCAGACTATATAAGGTAGATAGGTGATTCTATCGTATGTATGTACTGAAAGGTCCGCGAGCAGCTAACAGCTCACTCTTTCCTCACCTGGCCAATGCCAAAATACTCCGTAGAATGGTGAAAAAGGGCCCACATCCCCCTTCTTCCAGCCTCTGTTGCTTTTGAATTTTTCACATCTGCTGTTCTTATTTTTGTCTGTTGAAAGAGCCCAGAAGCAATTCGGGAAGGTGATGTATTAGGGCTCAGCCCTGATCAGCTGACCGGCAGTTCTCCTGCTTCACCTTCAGTCCTTCGCGGGGCATGTAAGAGATACTTAGCGATCTTACTTAACATTGACATCACGGCTAATTCAGCTATCATCTTAGGAATCTAGCAAGTTGAGGCAGGTCGACTGACAGGACGGCACAAGATTACTCCGTGCGGAGGATATTATTACCATTGGCCAAATGGGGCGTTTTAAGGCATCTGATTGGCTGCTCGCGAACAGCGTAATTAAATCAAAAAAAACTTTGATTTCTACACGAAAATAAATAAATAAGCAAAATTTCTCCCTCTGCGATGGATATCTCGTCGCTTTTGAACCATTGCCACTCGTTATCTATCCATTGATATATAGAACCCAATTCCCTGGATAATGGAGGACCTGCACTCCTCAGCTGAAAGCGCAGGAATGGCTGCTGCAGCCATCGCTCCTACTGAGAAGACCGGCCAAGAAAGCCAAGAAGACGGGCAGCTGCAGCTGCAGAACAACAACCGACGACTCGAGGCAGAAACGAGGATGACCTGGATCTGCTGAAGCTGGGGTACAAGTCCGTGCTGGCGCGGGGCTGGGGCGCGTTCGACAACTTCGCCTGCTCGTTCTCGGCCCTGTACTGCATAGGCGGCATTCGGGTGCTCTTCTCTATCGCGCTCAGCAATGGTGGACCTGCGGCGATGTATGTAAATGTGCATGCAATTCTTCTACTTTAGTATATGCTCGCTGACATGATCGTTGCAAAGGTGGAGCTCCTGGGTCTCCGGGAGTATCCTATCAATCATCACGGCAGCCACTCTCGCTGAGGCCTGCTCCGCTTACCCTGCTGCCGGGTCCATCTACTACTGGGCTTTCAGATCCTGGGGAGGCGGCAGGCTGGGCCGCTTTGTCTCGTTCCTGGTCGCCGCTTGGACGTTGGTAGCGTGGACTTCTTTCCTGGCGACCGATTCTTTCGGGGTTGCAAATTATCTGGTCTCGGAGGTGGTCGTCTTCAATCCCAAGACCAGTTTTCCGTACGATAACGCGGATGTGAAGGCGCGAGCGGTGGCATGGGCCTTCTCGCTGCTATTCCTCGCCATCGCGACTTCAATGAACTTCCTCCCGCCTCGCCACTATGCCTGGGTGTTCCGCGCCGGCTTCATCGTCATCGTGATCGATATGCTTCTCAACTTCATCTGGCTGCCCATCGGAGTATCGCGCACGTACGGCTTCCAGTCGGCGGAATTTGTCTTCACGTCCACGTACAACGGGGGAGGCACGAGCCCCGGGCTCAATTGGATCTTGTCTTGGTTCCTGGTTGGCAGTTGTCTGGTTGGCGAAGACGCCTCGGGCCACGTCGCCGAGGAGACTGTCTCTGCGAAGAAAGCCGCCGCCAAAGGCGTCTTCTGGTCAACCGTTGCATCGGCGCTCTGCGGCTTCGTCATTATTATCCTCTTCCTGTTCTGCATGCCTCCCATCGACACATTCTATAACACCAGCGCACCGCAACCGTTCATCAACATGTATGCGCTGGCTCTGGGGCCGCGTGCACATGTCGTGGCCACTATTGTCTCAATGATTGGAGCTATCCTCAACACGTCAATCTCCCTCGTTGCCGTCTCCAGACTCGTGTTCGCCATTGCGCGAGATTCCGTCTTCCCCTTTAGCGACGTCCTCTGCCGAGTTTCGAAATCGAAGCAGCCGCACAACGCCGTTATTTTCATCGCGACGATTGCAGCCCTTCTCCTCTGCACCCAGTTGCCCTCTCAGGTTGCCTTTGCAAGTTTGACATCGACCTCGGCCGCTGGTTCGATTGCTGCGTACGCGCTTGTTGGGTTTGGCCGCGCTTTCGTCTCTCACAAGACTTTCCAGCCGGGTTTTTGGGATCTGGGAAGATTCGGAGTCTTGATGGCCATTGTGACTTTTATCTGGAACGGCTTTGCGTTCGCTGTTCTCTGCGCGCCTCAGTATAGTGACAGCGCCATCGACCAGGATGCGGGCTTGCTGAACTATGCCATCGTCATCATGGCGGGCATTACAATCATTGCGCTGGAAGAATGGTGGCGGAAGTCCAAGCGTGTTTGGTTCCACAATCTGAAGGATCTCGACAGCAGCTCCCAAGACATCGAAGTCCATCCGGCGGAAAAGGGTAGCCCGACAGCTGTCTAACCGCTCGCTCTGTCATGGTGTAGCTGTTGTGGAGGATGAGATTGGATGATTAACGTCTGAAGAAGGGAATACTACCGGAGGGGTAAGTCAAGTTAGATGTATGTATGGAGCATGACGGGTGTTCGAGGCATGCTTCGCGAAGCAAGCAAGCATGACTCGTTCTGAGAGATACCGTTAGAACTTGATCTGGATAATACCAGCGAAAGGACTATGCTTCATACATCTCCCTTTTCTTTCTTCCGTTCCTGCGAGAGCATTTTGATGCTACTAACCTTAGGCACATGTACCACCCACCAACCCCGACTTTGGGACAGCAAGGCCCTACAAAACAAGGCCCAACCAGGCCAAGCCCAGTCGCTCCTGCAATCGCGCCGTATCATATCGTATCCTGACCCAAAGCGGATGCGAACGAAACTTGCCCCAGGCCTCCCAGGCCTCCATCAACCCACCCATCAATCATTTATCTCCCTGCGATCCTATGATCCTATGATCCTCCCCATATTCTTCTATTCCGCTTTGATTCGCATTTCCTGTCCTGCCCTGCCCTCTCCGTGCCCTTCGTAAAAATGGCCCCTTCTCGTATCTTTCTTCAGAAACGTAGATCGTCACTGTCGTATCGTCCGTAGAGTGATTTCTGCCCCTCCATCCATACTTGAGCATTCCAAGTGCTGTGTCTCTAACGTAGAGATTGTAGACGAAGAAGCCCCTGTAAAATTCCTCCTTTTTTTTCTTTTAAGCGGCAAGAAAGGGCCTTGCGCATACGTATGGTAAACTTTGTATACAATCCATTCCCGAAACTCTACAGCTATGAAGGTTACGAATGGCATTAAATTTGTATTTTTTTCCCCCAGTATCGCTGCCTGGCTGTCTGGCATTGCTCGTCTCTCGTCTCTTTATGTCTATGTTTCTTACTTAGATGGCAGTTCTATTGTATTCCAATGAAATTACTACTTTATAAAATGTTATTCCTATCTGTTGTTTGCGATCAAAT